AAGCAGAAGTTTAATATCGCTCGCTCATTGGCAGAACAGGCTGTAAACACATAATATTTGCACAATATTTGCAATAGCCTGATTGCACAAAAATAAGAGCAATATTCATGCAACCAGCCTGGCTTCAAGCATCGTGTCAAGCTCCATATGCAACCAGAAACCAGTTCAATATTCAATATCTGCAAAAGCAGACATATGAAATTGTATTTATTTATTTATTAAATGTACCCACCCCATGAGTGATTCTACTCTAAGTGAATTTTAGAATAATCTTTCTCATAATAACGCCCAAAGCAAAATATTATACCTAGCCCATATGTGTGTGTGTGTGTGTGTGTGTGTGTGTGTGTGTGTGTGTGTGTATGGTATTCAGCTTTGTTCGGGTATTTTCCCACGTCATTGTAGTTGTGCTTTTAAAGTTGTAGCAATGTTTCGGCAGAATCTCATCTGCCATCATCAGAATACCATACTGCTGCTGAATACCATACATGTAAGTACCCGCGAAAACTTAAGAAAAAAAAAAAAATATATATATGGATATATATATGGATCTTTGGTTATTTGGGTTTTCTCCCGCGTAAGATTGGAAGTAAGAAAGAAAGAAGAGCGGGAGAAAACCCGAATAACCAAAGATCCACATACAAATACCCGCGAGAACCTCAGAAAACACACACACACATGTATGTATGTATGTATGTATGTATGTATGTATGTATGTTTTCTGAGGTAACCCTTTCCTGTTGTGTAAATTGGGACAGACTGCTTTCTTCTCTTTCCTTTTGCATCCTCCCTGTGTGTCTATTGCATCAGAAAGTGATTCTCTGAAGAAGATGCATCTCTGAGTTGACAGCAATGTGAATGGCACAGCCTCATGGTCCTTGGTGGTAGTGCTTCTTCCGAGATGGGACTTGTAAAATGTCTGTCAGCCCTGGAGCCATTTCCTGATACCCCCCTGGCACTTTCAGGGCTGCCAGAGTGAAGCGAGTTGAGCTGTGGGAACAGGAGAGGGGTGGAAGAGATAGCTAGGGGCAGAGGTGGCATTCAGCAGGTTCTGACCAGTTCTGGAGAACCGGAAACAGAAATTTTGAGTGGTTTGGAGACCCAGCAAATACCAACTCCGACTGGCCCTGCCCTCTCTATTTTTTGCCTCCCGAGTCCCAGCTGATCGGCTGGGTCTTCTTTGGTTGCCCTGCACAGGAGAACGGAGCTGGAAAGCAGGTTAGTGGGGTGGGGAGGGAATGGGGATTTTGCAGTATCCTTCCCCTGCCACACCCACCAAGCCACACCTACAGAACCAGGAGTAAAAATTTTTGAATCCCTAAGGGATTCAAGGGATTCAAGGGATTGTAGCCATAATGAAAATTCTTTCTTCTAAGAACCAAGGACTTTCCCACCAGGTGCAAGGAGGTGGGGTCTGACACCTAGTGACCCTTGGACTGTGGCCTGATTGGACCATGTGACGGACTACATGGGCTGGGGAAAGAAAACTCTACTTTTAACTAGGGGGAAACCCAAGGGGTGTTTAGAGTCGGCTTTCCCCAGATGTGCCAATATAACATGCCTAATAAATCTTTACTTTGAGGAACATGCCAGCCTTGGAGTTTCGATTCCGTTGGGTGTGTAAAACCCTGATGATATCCTGCCTCCCAGGTCTTGTAGGATAGGTAGAAAATGCTGAGAGAAGAGGGGAAATCATACAGACGCAGGCCATCCTCGAATTATGACTGCTTGTTTAACAAGCATTTGAAGCGACAAGGGCCTCAGAAAGTGTGCTTTATGGTCCACTTCCAGCCCATTGTAAAATGATATGCCCCGCCCTCTGCAGTCACATGACTGCATTTCCAGTGCTTGGCAACCAGCTTGAATTTACAACCGGTTGCAGCATGCCGGCCCCGTGACCACTATTTTCGACAGGTTTTACTGAATTCCTACAGGTTTTTTAGCACTGTTTCCTGGATTGTTTGCCGGTGAACCTGCTCGCTTGGGAGAATGGCTTAACAACCTCTGCAAAAATAGGAGAAAAATCTATGTCCTGTCCCCAAAAGGACAAGGTAAAGGAGACTCTGTGGATTTTACTCTGCTAGACTATAGGGGGCGGTGTTCACCTCCTTTTCCAGGCCATTGAGTCAGAGCTGTCCGAAGACATTTCCGTGGTCACATGGCCAGCATGATGTCGCAGAAGGTCGTTACTTCCTACCAAAGTGGTACCTATTTGTCTTTTCGCATTTGCATGCTTTCAAACTTCTGGGTTGGCAGGAGCTAGGGTGAGGATGGGAACTCAACCTGTTATGTGGAGTTCGGATCTCAAACCCTGGCTGGCTGCTTTCCAGCCAGCAAGCCAGTGGTGGGATTCAAAGTTTTTTACTACCAGTTCTGTGGGCATAGCTTGGTGGGCATGGTGTGGCTTGACGGGTGTGGCTTGGTGGGTGTGGCAGGGGAAGGATACTGCAAAATCCCCATTCCCTCCCCACCCCACTAACCTGCTTTTCAGCTCCGTTCTCCTGTGCAGGGCAGCAAAATGAGACCCAGCCAATCAGCTGGGATTCCATGGGAGGAAGAGAATAGATGGGGGCGGAGCCAGTCAGAGGTGGGATTTGCCGGTTCTCTGAACTACTCAAGATTTCCGCTACTGGTTCTCCAGAATTGGTCAGAACCTATTGAATACCACCTCTGCAACAAGTGCAACATCTTAACAACTGAGCCACTGCACTGCCTGTGCTTGTCTTGAATTACACCCACAATGACTTACCATCAAAATTCCCATCCCAATTGTAGTCATAAGTCAAGGGCTATCTATACACCCAAACTGGACCTCAGTTTTATTTATTTACTTCCTCCAACCCACCCTAGCATGAGATGCTGCAGACCACAATCCCAATGATATAGAACAACAAGAGCTGGAAGGAATCTTGGAGGTCTTCTAGTCCAACCCTCTGCTCAAGCAGGACACCCTATACCTATGATGGCAAACCTATGGTATGCGTGCCATAGGTGACACGCAGAACCATTTGTGCCAGCATGCCAGCTGCAGGCAAACTTACCTCACTCTGCATGTGTGCGCCTCACAGCTGATTTTCGGTGGGTTTGAGGCCTTTTTCGGCCTCCCAAAGGCTTGATGAAGGCTTCTGCAGGCTTCTGCAGGCTTTGGAGCCGAAAACTAGCCCCATTTCATCACTTCCTGTTTTTTCTGAAAATACGGGAAGTGCCGAAACGGGGCTAGTTTTTGGCCCGCAAAGCCTCCAGAAGCCTGTAGAAGCCTTTCTCAAGCCTTTGGGAGGCCGAAAAAGGCCTCAAACCAGCCAAAAATCAGCGGTGAGGTGCAGCACAGGTAAGGGGGTGGTGGCGTGGGTGGGTGGAGATTGCGCGTGTATGCGTAGGGGGTGGAGGGGGTGCACATTGCTTTCTGGGTGCTGGCACGGTGAGGGTGAGCATTCAAGCACCAGTTTTTGGCACAATTTTTGGCACAGGAACCCAGAAAGGTTAGCCACCACTGCCCTATACTATTCCGCACAAATAGCTATCCAGTTTCTTCTTTAAAATGTCCTGTGTTGGAGCACCCACAACTTCTGCAGGCAAACCGTTCCATTTATTAATCGTTCACTGTCCGAAAATAAAGTTCAACAAGACATTGAAATAACGGACTGGAGTGGGAAGATCTTGGAAGATCAGAGTAGGCATAGGTAATCATAGGAGGAAGTTCATGGCAATTATGGGAAGACTGGGGAAGAACCTGATGTATATTTTTATGCCTGCATATACTTATGCTAATTGCTTTGACATAAGACTTCAGCAACAGAGTGGTCAATGCCTGGAATGCACTACCCGATTCTGTTGTTACATCCTCAAACCCCAAAACTTTAACCTCAAAACTATCCACTATTGACCTCATCCCATCCCTAAGAGGTCTGTAAGGGGCGTGCATAAGTGCACCATCGTGCCTACCATCCCTGTCCTTTTGTCCCCATTTATTTGTACCTATTTCCTGTATTCTTACTCCTGTTTATACTTATCCGCAGGAAAGGAGGAAAACGAAGGATTTCACCTTGAACCGAGTCAAGCATTTGGTCCATTTGAAACAGAAATTTAACACCACTCCCTCATTTAGCAGAACAGCCTAACGTGATTACTGTGAACCCATACAATTTGCACAATATTTGCAACCGCATGATTGCACAAAATATAGAGCAATATTAATGAAACCAGCCCGGCTTCATACATCACATCAAACTTCATATGCCTCCAGAAACCAGAGTTAAAAACTAACCAAGCCTAACATATTGTCAGCTGAACCTGATTAGATCTATCATGGGCACACCCCCATTACTCTATACCAGGGGTCTGCAACCTGTGGCTCTGGAGCCACATGCGGCTCTTTTGGCCCTCTGCTGCGGCTCCCTGTTGGCTGATCCCACCACTGGCCTGAGAAGGTAAGGGTGATGGCGCAGGATGGAGACTCGCTCCATATTCCAGAGCAGGAGGTGACTGGGTGGGAGTGAATGATGTCGAATTGGCCATGCCCACCCAGTCACACCAGTTGTTAAATTATTGTGTTTTCTTTTCTGTGGGAAAGGGGCCCAAATGGCTCTTTGAGTGTTTAAGGTTGCAGACTCCCTGATCTATACACTAACCTGGTATCAGATCCCAGGTTTTAAACATTAAGTTGTGCAAATCTTCAAAGATTGCTTTGCAGTAGAGATATGCACCTCTCCAACTTGTTAGTATCAAAATGATACGGCCAAATTTTATTTGTGAAAAACAGCAGCTTCTTCTTCGCAAGGGTGGCAGGTCTCCAGAAGCCCTATCTTCTGAGGAAAAATCCTCAATTGAGGAAGATCACCCTGGATAGCCACTCTACCTCTCACACTCATGTCTATTAAGTACAGGTATTTTCCAGGGGAAATTTTGTTTCTTCATATTCATGACTTAGCAAGCCGTTCGTCATTGGTTAAAAAGAGGGTTCAAATTCAAGTCCCAGCATTTCCTCGGAGACTTTGTGCTGGTCAGTAATGAGCAAACTGAGCGAGCAGACTCAAACATCTGTCACTTCCATGTTCTATATTCTTCTTTCTGAGAAGGAGAAACAAGGAACCTTTTAATGGCTGCTTCTTCACAAGAGGACTTTCATCAGCAGATGTGCAACGAGAGTGAAGAGGAGACATCCTGTCAGCTGAGAGACCTGGTTGGCTGGCCGGCAATTGACAGTATCTGTATCAAAGAAGTTCGTTTTTCCAGAGTGTAAAGTATTGCAGATGGACTCCGTGGTGCAACCTTTCAGCGTGATGTGCTTTTCTATACCTGACAAACAAGAAGGAAAGTCACACAAAGCCTGGTGAGGATGACCTAAGAAGTCCACTCATCTACTTAGTGGTTGCCTAACCACAACATGCTATTCTTTCAACTTGTTTAACAAAATTCCAGTATTATATTCACAAAATATGTGGATATAAACCATATCATCGAATAACGTGATGGTTTGATACAGCTAACAGAAGAATAGAGTGGGAAGCCTAGAGGTCTTGTAATCCAACTCGCTACTTAAGGAGGAGACGCTCTATGATTCTGGACAAATGGCTGTCCAGTCTCTTCTTGAAAACCTCCAATGATGGGGCACCCACCACTTCTGGAACACACGTTCTGTTCCCCTGATAGTTTTGACTGACAGGAAAATTCTGTTTAATTTTAGGATAGATCTCTCTTCAATAAACTTCCATCCATTACTTTCTTTGTCCTGCTTTCAGGTGCTTTGGAAAATAGGTTGACCCCCACCTCCTTTCTGTGACCGCCATGCAAGTATTGGAAGACTGCTATCATGTCACCCAGAGGTGGTATTCATCAGGTTCTGACCAGTTCTGGAGAACTGGTAGCTGAAATTTTGAGAACCAGAGAGAACTGGTAAATACCACCTCTGACTGGCCCATCTATTCTCTGCTTCCCATGTCCCAGCTGATCGGCTGGGTCTTCTTTGGTTGCCCTGCACAGGAGAACGGAGCTGGAAAGCAGGTTAGTGGGGTGGGGAGGGAATGGGGATTTTGCAGTAACCTTCCCCTGCCACGCCCACCAGGCCACACCCTCCAAGCTATGCACACAGAACCGGTAGTAAAAAAAAAATTGAATCCCACCACTGATGTCACCCCTAATCTTTCTCTTCATTAGACTATATATATCCAGTTCCTGCCACTGTATGGGTGAGGATCCCACCTAAGCCATATACACCCACAGAGAAACATATCCATGGTTAAATGAACTCAGGTTCACATATTTGTAATTTATTGGGCAAGGTAGGTTGTATAAATGCAGTCAACATGTTTTAAGGTGACGTGTGAACATATTCATAATATAACCTCAGAATTACCTGGATATTTATGCTCAGCCAAATCCAGGCAGTAATTTTCAAATCCAGTACACTCGACTGTCTTCACAGGACATGGCTCAGATTCAGAATAGCAGGCTGGGCAGTATTTCCCATTGGCTGTCATATTTATCGGTGGCCCTGGAAAAAAAAGAGAGCCCAATTAATTAAATCAGAACATTTGAGTTCAAAAACGAACAACCCTCTTGTGATCATTGGTTCCATTAGTTTCAGGCATTTGTCATCCATAGTTGCTCTCACATCTACTCCTGCATTTTTTTACGAACAGTCCTTAAGTTACAATTATTCGTTTAGTGACTGTTCCAACCTACAATGGCACTGAAAATAAGTGACTTACAACCGGTCCTCATTCTTACGACCTTTGCAGCATGCCTGCCACAATCCAGCCCACCTCACAGGGTTATTGTGGTGGGAGAAATAGAATACTAGATATGTTCATTGTCTTGACTTACTTTAAGTATTTTTTAAAAATCTAATACATAAATTAATAAATAAACATTCCCAACACTATTGATGCAGTCTTTAAAGAATCCTACAAGCCCTCCAGATAAAGTTGTTTACTCATCTTGCAAAGGGGAACCTGCCCCCCCTCCCCAGAAACATCTAACTTGCAAATCAAGGATTAGAACTCCAGATCAGGAATGACCAACCTTAGCAAGTTTAAGACCAGTGGACTTCAATTTCGCAGATAGAGAAATGCTGGGGAATTCTGGGAGTTGAAGTCCACAGGTCTTAAAGTTGACAAAGTTGGACACCTCTGCTCTCCATCATTCTGAATTACAATACTCAACAGGGCCTCTAGTAGAGAATTCCTGTTACTTGAAGTTCTTGGAGGGTATGGCAACTCCGAATTCTTTTGAGGTGATTCTGCAGGTTCATCAATCAAGGTTTGGAGTGCCAATTATTTCTGACATGGTTGGATGATGGTCACTGGCAGAGGCAAAGAAGAAGAGACCTACATGGAAGAGAATCTTCTCTGCAGTCTTCTCCTGAGCAACACAGGATACTTTTCCTGAGGAATTCTCCTTGTCCAAAGGTCACCAAAACAGATGCAGAGGTGCAGTTTTCTGAGAAATAGCAGCCCTTTCCTATAATCGACATATTTTTTCCTCCTGCCAAGAGAGAAAATTTCATAGTTGGTGATGTTTAGGCCTTCACCTAGCCTAGTAGTGCACAGAGCTTTTATATGGGACTCCTTTTGTGACTAAGGATCTCAGAACTGTAATAGGATGCTTAGCCTCAAGAAGCACCCAGATCAATGGTTGACATCTCCAAGCCTAATACCTTGGAGGGTTACCTCTAGGTAAGCCAGCAAGTTGAAGGCAACTTTCCATGTTTGGATCATCCTTTATTTTTTTTGCAGTCATAAAGAAGCATGTTTGTTATTACTGTTAATATTTGATTTCTAAAACCCTCAGTGGTTAAAATTGCTGCGCTTTTCAGCTGGACAACGGACGCCCTGGGTTTGAGACCCGAGTGCCATATGATGGGGTGAGCTCCCATTCTTGTCCCAGCTCCTGCCCACCTAGTAGTTCAAAAGTATGCAAATGTGAGCAGATAAATAGGTACCACTTCAGTAGGCAATAGCCTTCCATGTGCTTTTGGCATATAGTCATGCTAGCCACATAACCGTAGAAGTGTCTTCAGACAACAGTGGTTCACTCGGCTAGGAAGTGGAGATGAACACTGCCCCTTAAAGATGGACATGATTATGGACAGGGGAAATCTTTACCTTTACCCAATGGCTACAATTCTGATGGGCAATGCTCAAATCAATAAAACGCATTATAGAAAAGATGTAGCTATCTCAATGCAGAGAAAAAAGAGGGTTCCAGCAAAAAAGTTTCCAATTTATTTATTGAAATTTTTGTATTGATGATAGAGATAGGTGTGTGTATGCGTGTGTGTGTGTGTGTGTGTGTGTAGGTAGGGATATATACCATGTGTCCCTGAAAATAAGACTGGGTCTTATATTAATTTTTGTTCCAAAAGAGGCATTAGGGCTTATTTTCCAGTTAGGTCTTATTTTCAGGGAAATACAAAACTAAATGCATCTGTGTGGCTGACAAGCTTAACTGGGGCTTATTTTTGGGTGGGCTGGGGTAGGGCTTATATTACGAGTATCTGGAAAAATTATGCTAGGATTAGATATTATTTTTGGAAAAACGTGGTATGTATGCATATAGCATGTGTATATGTGGGTTATATATATGTCTGCCAGTGTGCTCGCCGTAAAAAAAATTGACAATAAAGTTTATCTTAATCTTAATATTCCATTTTTGTTCTTATAACCCAAGGAGGCATCATCTTAATCCATAGCAAACATGGGTGGCAGGTTGGACTGCAATAAGGACTGGCCCAAAGTCAGCCAGTGAACACCATGGTCAGGAAAGGAACAGAGCTTAATCTGCTAGTTTCAGTTCAACTCTTTAATCTAATCCCACTCACCAACTGGCCTGGAGGGTAGAGGTATTCCTTGACTTACAACCATTCAAAGTTACAGTGGCACTGTAAAAAGTGACTTACAACCAGTCTTTGACCTTATAACTCTCACAGCATTCCCCACGAGTCATATGATCAAAATTTGTTGCTTAGCAACTGGCATGTATTTATGATATTTACAGAATCCCGGGGGTGTGTGTGTGTGTCATGTGGTCATCATTAGTGATCTTCCCAGCTGGCTTTCCAACAGGCAAAATCAATGGGGGAAGCTGGATTCACTTAATGACTGTGTGATTCATTTAATAACTGCAGACATTGCCAATTGTGGTTGGTCAAAAGGTTGGCAAATCAGGAGCGATTCACTTAACAAATCACCTTGCTTAGCTACAGACATGCTGGTCGTAAGTCAAGGACTTCCTGTATTTCCAGGGACAAAAATAAACTATTGTAGGGAGAGAAGATCAAGAGGTCTGCTTGTCTACTGATCGACCTTTCACTCACCTTTGGAGGTCTCTGTCAGTTCAATTAAACAGATGTCCTCTTCCATTTCACACTCCTCTTTTTCACTTTTACAACTATATCCCGTGGCCAAACATATTTCACACTCCTGGGGGGCACCTGAAAAAGTGAAATGACCCATCAACTAGCAGGACAGATATTTCAGCCATGTATCCATGGCTACCTGTCAATGACTACTTCAGCTTGAACCGCAATAATACACGGGCAAACAATACCATAGGTACAAACTCTAAGTAAACCGCTCCAAACTCGATTGCAGGAAATAGGACTTCAGCAACAGAGTGGTCAACGCCTGGAACTCACTACCTGACTCTGTTGTTACATCCTCAAACCCCCAGAACTTTAACTGTAAACTGTCCACCATGGACCTCACTCCATTCCTAAGAGGTCTGTAAGCATGCATGCATAAGCGCACCAGTGTGCCTACCGTCCCTGTCCCACTGTTCCCATTTATTCATACTCAGTTATTATGTATATACTTACACTGTTTATACTTATATGTGTATATGTTCATACTTGTTTGCTCATACATGCTTGACAAACAAAATAAATAAATTAAATAAATAAACAATCCCACCTTCCCTTCCCCAAAATATCTTTTGTTAGGTCCACTAGCCACTACAGTCACTCCTACCAATTTGTATTAGTGACCAGAGTGTCTAATGAACCTAAACACCTATTGTTTAGCAACAGAAATTTTGAGCTTGATTGTGGGCATTAAATCAAGGATTTCCTGTCCTGGAATCTTGCAAATCCACCTGGGTTTTCCATTTCCTCCCTCTTATTTCCCCAGTGACTCATGGGGTGAGCCACTCTTCTAACCTTCTCCCATTCCCTAGGGCACAACTCATGTTTCCTCTGTGTTGTCTACGCAAGTACAGGTATGAGCTACGCTACCTGGGAAATTCTGGAAAATGTCAAGTTAGAGCAGGCATATCTTGGAAAGGTTTTTCATGAGGTAAAAAGAAGATTTGAACCAGAAGATGAGCCTCGGTGGCACAGTGGTTAGAGTGCAGTACTGCAGGCTACTTCTTCTGACTGCCGGCTGCCTGCAGTTTGACAGTTCAAATCCCACCAGGCTCAAGGTTGACTCAGCCTTCCACACTTCTGAGATGGGTAAAATGAGGACCCAGATTGTTGCGGGGCAAGAGGCTGGCTCTGTAAACCGCTGTAAAGAATTATAAAGTGGTATATAAGCCTAAGTGCTATTGCTATTATAAGAACTGTGGTGGCGCAGTGGTTAGAATGCAGGATTGCTGGCTAATTCTGCCAACTGCCAGCAGTTCAACCGTGACCGGTTCATGGTTGACTCAGCCTTCCGTCCTTCTGTGGTGGGTAAAATGAGGATTTATTGGAGGCCATACGCTGACTCTGTAAACCGCTTAGAGAGGGCTTTAAAGCACTATGGAGTGGTATATAAGTCTAAGTGCTATTGCTATCTGCTTAGGCCTGCTTTCATAATCTGTCAGAGACGTTTTCCCAGCTGCTGAGGAATTACCAGAGGTTTCTTACCGGAAGAAAGAAGGGCAGAAATGCAAAATAAGCTCAGAAGAACTTTCATCTTGAGTGATGAAGAGGGCAGCATCTCCCTGGAACTTCTTCTGCAGTGGGGCCACTTCTATGTCCTAAAGGATAAACATTCACAGGAAAAAGTGGTTTGTTTTTTTTTTCAACCAGGGCAACCTGCTCTACCCAAATATGGGATGGAACATACAGCATCTGCTTTTGCCTTTCAGTCCTCATCCAGGAGCCTTTGCAGACAGAGCCACTTCTGTGACGAACTATTGTGGTGTTGAATTTTTATTTAACACAACAACACATCTTTAAATCACCTTTAAATAAACACACCGTTCTTCCTTTGTCAGTAAGTATAAATTTAACACAGTCACAGGAAAAACAGACATTTACAGGTTAGTCTTCGACTTAATGACCACAATTTGCGTGGCTAAGTGAGATATGTGTTGAGTTTTGTCCCGTTTTTATGATCTTTCTTGCCGCAGTTGTTTTAAGCGAATCACTACAGCGGTAAAATAAGTAATCCGGTTGTTAAGTGAATCTAACTTCCCTGTTGATTTTGCTTGTCAGCAGGTCGCAAAAGAGGATCACACGACCCTGGGATACTCCA